AACGCAAGAGCCTTACTCTACTGCAGCTGGCTTTCCGTCGTTGGCTGAGGGGACCCCTTGGCCACCTCATCCGGGACGAGGCAGGGTAACCTCCCACCTGCCTCTTTCAATTAGTAGACCACTTCCTCAGTACGTTCGCTTCTCCGTTCTGGGATGTCACTCCAGGCGCCCAGATTCGTTGGATCGCCGAAGGCCGTCTGGGTGAGGGCGGGTTGATCGACGGTGGAACGGTCCCTCGGAGTGGCGACAAGCACTCCGCACTAGGCAATTCGATGCCGTGGATGTACATCACCCTCTGGTTTCAGGTCACGTGATGGGTGCCCGTTACTGACCGACGCCTGCGGGTTCTGGTGTTGGCGGCCCACTGGTGCCTGAATAATGCAGCCAATGCACTCCTCTTCCCCGCCCCTTCTTGCTCATCTCTGGGGAAACCCCAAGGTACTGATACCGCTACTCCCCGGTCCTCTCCTGGGGCGCGTTCTGACCAGGACTTCGAGGCGAATCCCGCGGTGGCGACGAGGGCCTCCCAGGAGGCCGAAAAAAAGGGAAACACGCCAAGGGTAGCTTTTCCTCCTCTGATTCTCCTCCTCCTCCTCCTCCTCCTCCTCCTCCTTCCTCCCTCCCCTCCTCTCTACGCCTCGTCCTCCCAGCACAAGTAGCATAGCATAGACAGCAGTAGAGAGTAGAGTCACAAAGGCATGTGAGCAGAGAGAGTAGAGAGTAGAAGTCAAGAAGAGAGTTACTCCAGTTCCACCTCCCTCATCCTCCTCCTCCTCCCTCCTCCTCCTTCCTCCTCCTCCTCCTCCTCGCTCCCCGTCGCCATCTCCTCCTCCTCCTCTCATCCTCCTCCTCCCTCCTCCTTCTCCTCATTCCTCCTCCTCCCCCGTCGGCTGCCCCAGGCCCCCACCCAACCATCGAGAAGTCCTGGCGACGACGACGAGCGCAGACGCCGACGGTGTGGTGGTTGTTGTACTATGAAGACGAGGGCGGCACCGAGGGAAAGCGGGCACCTGGATCCCCGGGGCCTCCCCCCAAAAGCAGCCCTTTGCGGCGTTTCGCAGCATCCTCATCCCCCCTCCCCCTCCTCCCCTCCTCCTCCTCTTACCTCCTCCTTCCTCCTCACCCCCCCCCTCCTCCTCCCTTCTCACCTCCTCTCCTCCTCCTCCTCCCTCACCCCCCCTCCTCCGCCTCACTCCGATCCTCCTCATCACTCCCCTCCTCCTCCTCCTCCTCCTCCTCCTCCTCCTCCTCCTCCTACAGGAGCTCGACCACAAGAAGCCTTCCACAAGAAGCCCAACCCTGAGACCCCAGGACGTACCTTGATTTCTGCTGTGGGAGCGTCACGCGTGCCATGGCAAAGCCATCGCAGCCCAATCAACCAAGGGTGCACTGGAGGGCAAGCATGGTGTTTCTCGGCATGGGACGTCTTCAAGGGGCCACGGAGCCTCCCCAAATGATATCACCAGGCTGCCAAAGGCCTTTCACAAGCGTTCAATGATCGCTGCCCTCTCGCGAATTCGCATCCGATGGGTTTTTGAGGCCTCGAGATGGCTCCAAGATTGCCCAAGAGAGCCACAATCAGGCCCATAAATACCCGTTTCCCTCAGAGCCCCTTTCCATCACGCAGGGGCGCGCCGAAGAGGGGGGCCAGGGGGAGGGGGAGGTGCACACGTCAGGGCCAGAGGCGCGTGTGCGCGGACGAGTTGGGGCCATGCGGGCAGAGGCGTAGGAGGAGGAGGAGGAAGCGTGGACCATCAAATCTGGAAGATTTCCGTGGCCACGGCCACGATAAGGTCGAGAACTTTCGCTTACAGTCGGCCCATATCATAAGGATGCGCGATTAGGATGCAAGCGCCTTGGGCGCCCATTTCGAAGCTTTTCGAGCTGGGCGCGGGATGGGCCGAGCAGGCAAGGATGCAAGGGTACCCTTCGGAAGGTTGTCCATCCTTACTATGCGGGCTGACTGTAGCGTGTTGCCGGGGCGACACGCTATGTCCTGCGAGCGGGTAGCGTGTCGCTCCGCTCAGGGGGACGGGAGCATAGTCAACGCTCGGGACGTTGACGCTCGGGGGCCACGACGTGGTTAGCATGTCGTGCCGAAGCGTGGTGTGCCAGAACCGGCGGAGTGCCACACTAACCACAAGTTCCCGACCGTATCCACCGCCCCGGTCCTCATCTCCGTCTTGGACCCCCTCGAATCCCGTACATACGACGTCCTGATTTTCCATACGGATGCCCCCAAATCTCGGACCCTGGGTAATGTTTTGAATCGCGAGTCGTTTTGACGGTCCCGTTGCCCAGCGAAGGCCCACAGGGGCCGAAAACTGCTACTTATTTGGCTTCGATCGATCGCCAGGGCAACCTTCAGCGTATGTGGTCGGTGCTGCATTCTACTCTATCACGTTCTGTTCGGCTCTGTTCTGTTCTATTCATGAGGTTTATGCCTGTGGCCAGTCTTACATTGGCCCTCATGTTGCGTGTGATAGGGTGCCATTAATCG